GCACACTCGTTGACAAAACAAACTCTTGGCAGCGTTTCTGGTAGATCTTTCATCGTCCGCTTAAGATTTCAATATGGTAATTAAAAATTTAAGGAACTTCCAGCATACTTTTCCTTAGCTGGCAATACTATGAACACATAGAACCAACCCACTTAAAGACAGTTTGCAGACTGAATGCCTTTATCATCCGTGCATGGAGTCAATTGGCTGTCCTGCCTCTCTCACTCTGGCACCTAATTTGTTTGCGGCTTGCACTATCGTTGACTTATGGAGCTGTGGCCAACAACTGCCTGAGTTTAGATGAAGGGTAGACGAAAATGAACTACGGGACTGAGCCTTATTTGACACCTGCCTTCTCCCGGGCTGAGTCTCAGGGGACGGGAAGTATAAGCAGTCGAAAATATTACTTCCTTACTTGGTGGGAAAGGTGTTAGCTTGCATCTGTCAAATACACGGCCGCCGTTCAGTCGGTTCATCACAGTATTCAACTTTCTAGCCTACCCACCAAGTGGCGGGGTTTTCGTTACTCAGTGACATGTGCGTTTCCAGCTTTGACTGAGATTGCGGAAGTGATTTTTAGTTGGATCTCCTGTAATGATAGAAAAATGACATTTGGTTTTCCTCTACCGCCACATGCTCCGCAGCTCTGCATTCTGAAGAGTCCTTCGACTTCAACAGTCATATGATTTGCGTAGCTTCTTCACTTAGGGTTATTCAGTCACCTTTACTTTTTCGTATCCGTTCTGTCAAGGGCCTTGAGAATAACACCTAACCCATCTACTGCTTATGGCTGCGTTGCCATTCTTTGCTGGGATGCGATCACGGGGAGTTAGTTGCTATTCGCCTGACTAGCTTCTCGAACAAGCAGTACAGAGGACTGGATAAGCAACGGTTTCACTCCATGCCGAACTCTACGCTAGACGTTATTATTACTTACCCATAGCTGTCGTTTGTGAAAAAATTTGCCTTGCTACGGTCCCTGTTTGTTTTACTCTTTCCAAAATGGCCGAACTTCGATTCGGGGGCTCACTGTCGACACTGCGCAGATGACATTGCTTGTATCACCAATGCGTGCTCGTAGTGTAGGTCTGTTTTCCACTTAATTGTACCCGATAATCGCAGTCATAGTGCAACTTCCCACCTCGTTATCCTTTAACAAACGGTAGAAAACAAGTGCCCGCCGAATCCATTAGATTTGAGCTGGCACCAACATTATCAGAATGCAAATCTATACACCTGTGTCCGCGGTCTGCATCTACTGTCATCAATAATCGGCTTACGATCCATAGTGACTGTTGGACACCCTAATCCTTTGGCCATTTAGTGCGTGCTCAATTTCGCAGCTCTCACGAAAGCGCCTTTTCACACTGAGCTCAAGATACGACGGTTACTCGCTTGCAACAGAAGACTGTATTGTTCTTGACCTCATGGTCTTTTCTATGGGACAGTCGTTTGTAGGGATCAGGCTGACGACAGGCCACATTGCTGCTTATTATCATCATCCAATAACCGAGCAATTTGGAGAATCGATCTGGTATTGAAAGCGTCCCACCTATGAATTTGTCTTCTAGGTAATAAACATGAATATTTGCCAAAACCATCATTAAAGCAGATAAACTTGTAATCTACTCTTTTGACTGGCTCCCTCTATGGAATTCTTTTAGGACGACTTGATTGGGGCTACAGCTCCCTCATGTATCAGCTGAGCTGTGTTACGTGATCAGCAGTTCTAACTCTACTGCGCATTGGTTTAACTTACATCATTACCCTATTTTCACGTCAGTTGTAAGTGAAGTCGCATGTTCGCATCGTCCGACCTGTTTGAACGCCTTATTAGATCGCGGAATTTGTGGACTTGTTCGTGTAATCTAATATCTGTACACATACGAGCTAAGTGGAGAACACATTGGGCTCAGCCAATTCGCCTACTCGCTTCTGCCTAGGTGACTATCCTGTTGTCACAACTCACTGACTAGTCAAGAATAATCCCGTGTTGACATCATGTGATGAGACCTCTTTAAAATCCTTCCTGGCTCCAACCACATTTCAACGCTTTCAACAAATATCGGCACGAACATCAAGGTTGTGGGACTGATAAAATCGTTTATGACCATCCATCGCCAAAGATATCTATCACAATGTGCACCTGGTGGCTTTTATACCAAACCTGCACTCCATGGAGGTTGAATTGCGAATTGGCACTGATCTGTAAGGCGTGTCAGTTGGTGTGCGACCGGCAACTGCTCGTCAGTCCGTGGTGATTTATAACCTGTGGTGCAATCAACTGCATGCCCATATTTTCAAATCTCGAGCGCTTGCAACGCTGATTGTGACGTTGGCTGTATTATCGCTTTCAAGTGTGAGTAGGCGGCTCGAGGAAGCACGGGTACATCTTGTTATCACTGGATCGTATAGCAACATGCGTACGTGTACTAATTCATTAGGATCACGATTCTGCTTTTTACTAACATCCATTGTAGTTCAGTACTTGCTTGAACTGAGTTGCCTTAATCACAAACTGCAAGCGCACGTTTCGGTCTCCAAATCTGTTCGGTTGGTTCACACGATTTACTGTCGCTGTGCTGACCTTTGAACACGCTAACATTGATCGAATATTGGGCCAAACGGACTAAATCATCCACTTCACAGTGACGATGGAACTCAGCGTTCTGGTCCCGTTCAACAGGTTAGATGTGATAGATATTGATCAGGTTTCGATCTTCTACTGCATCGTATGCGGCATAAACAGGTAACCGGTGAACCGAGCAACGACAGATGTTTATACGAGTACACTGTGAAGACAGTACCTTCTGGCCAGGCTGAGGTCCGCTTCTCGTTGGTAAACTGCACCCCAAATTTAGAACGGTCTTCTGGTACTGCGTCTCCTCATCTGGTGTCTCCGCTTGCAACACCGAAAACCGATACTACTATATGGATTAAGGACCAGGCGCTTCCTAAATCAGAAAGAAAAGGGCTCGTCAACATCTTAATCGGAAACCGGAAAACTGTTGTTCACAGTAAAAATGGGTTTTGTTATATAGTTCAAAAGAACGTTCTTCACTACCATAAATTAGCAGAAGCATGCAGAAGCTGTCTTTGACTGGCTCCAAAGCAATAGTGCTTTCACTGATTGATTCCAAATCAAAGTTCTCTCATTGAATGACTTCTGTCCAATGAGTCTAGAATCCCAGCTTTTATTAAGGTTACCGGGCCTGAATGGATTCTATAAATGGGCTCCCGTGATATCATAATGCAATCCTATCGCTATTGTTGTGCTTACTGGTCGATCCAATAAAATAACCACTATGATACGCAATCATTCACTCGAGCAGTATCTAGGGAAATTACTAATAGTCATCTTATTCGTTTTTTATATCTTTTCATTCATTCCCCCATCCACAATGATGGAGTAATGATGTTGCAGTTGCCCCTACTAGAGTACACAAAACCTATTTTAAGCCCGATTTAACTGTACCTGCGAGAAGGCATACTTACGACATTCACTACCCCAGTTCACATAGATTACTCCGCAGAGGTAGAGGCAAGCATCAAACAACAGTCCAGTAATATTAATAGTAAACCATGCTGGTATGCAGCACCAATAGTGTGGTAGCTGATACTCCTGCACTTCTTATTCATAATTGTCAGGTTACTTGATGGGCGAAGCCAGCCGAACCCTTTTCGGAAGTCCACTTAAACCAAACTCTGGTGGACTGACAGTTTTCGCTCGGGCTTTCACGTATCCGCGCCTCAGTCGATGATCTGCCCAAGGTTCAAGTCACACAGGGAACGATGTGAAGCCAAATGTTATCAGCTAAAATCCCCTAGCTAAACTCAGGCTAACGCCCGAACCGTGTGGGCTACCATCTAACGGTATTTAAGCAGCTCCACTATATGAGGTCTCCTAGTACGTTTTGTTTCTATGAGTTCGGCTGTGCCATCCGAAATGATGAACGCCACCAAACACTTTGTTATTAGCTTGAAGACCACGGTAACTAAGGTAGATGACCCCTACCACAGTCTCGTGGTAGCGGCTCTCGGAACCAAGCAGTGTTTTCTGGTGACAATAGCATGATGTCTTAGAAGATGTAATGAGCGAATCTGATACATTCTAGCCACCCACCGGCTGTCGTGCTAACTAATATCAATGTGTTGAACAGCTGGTTATAGAATAGTCGTTGGGCATTCTTAGTTGCTTAATACGGTTAAGCCGCCCCTGATCACTTCCGAAATTCTTCCCCACGTGAGGGGACGGTGTATTGCAATTGCAGTTAAAACATGGCGAACTTGTTCCTACTTTCGACTTAACTACTAGACGTACAAGGCCCGTTGATTGCGTTTTAGTGATTAAGCCAACCCGACTAACCTAGATGAACTGCAGGTTGAAGAGAACTACTTCCCTCTGAGGATTGCCTTCAATGGTTCCAAGTTCCAAATACCAGTCGTCTAGTTAATCAGTGTGGGCTGCGCTTCGGTTCGCAATCGGTTTATGCTACTTACGGATGAAGGATGATGGTGTAGATGCACTTTCGCGTTTTATGGATCCTGAGCTCTAAGCACCTACCTCGAAACTGTAAATGGAACAGCTGAGTCATTGAATCGTGATTCGGTGGAACGACTGGTAGATTGCTATGGACAATCAGGTTGCGGTGTCAAATCGGCGTCGTGTAAACACTACTTAAGCATGTAAGTACGCTGCGTTCGTTTCCTAGTGCGTGTTCTTGAGCACTGTCATGGGGGTTGGTTAATACTGTGACTCTGTTTGTGGTTAAATTAGGTGATAGAAAGTCACATTTTGCCCACCCAGCAGTAGTGCATAACAACTCCGACCTGTAAGCACCCTTTCGACCCCATGTGAGATGTAGACTAGTTTACTGTTTCTTGTTTGCAAAACAAAGCATTACTACAAATGCCTCCCACGACAGCTCGTAGTTTTACTTTCTACCCAGTTTTTCACTTGCATTTGTTCATATACGATAGTTGTATTCTTTCCGCTTCAGATGGCATAACGGAATCGGTCGCAGCGAAAGAATCCTTGGCGGGTGCCTCAGGCGTTTCGACAGGCAAACTTCGATCAGCCAATGCGCCATACGTTGTTGCAATCGTGTGCTGCTGTCTAGGCTCCATAGCCTTTGCCAGTCTGCTTGTCTACATGGTTTATCGACTAAGAAGACTACGTCGTAAACGCTTGAAAAAGCTCCAAAAAGGTCAATTGTTGGATGGCGTAAAACATCCAAATCAATTTATATTGACTAACCCACACCAGAATGGCGGTTTCTTTCAACCCACAACCTCTGGGTCATTTGTCACCACCATCACCACCACCTCCCCACTGATGACGCCGGATGGTAACGCTATGACTCCAGTGCATTCACATTTGCTTCAATACAATCCACTGAAAGCTGCCGCACCGACGTCGTTCAGCTACTCGAATACTCTTAAAGAACTGGAAACTGGGGCCATTGGCCATGGATTGACGGCTCCATTGCTCAGCGCCCATAACCTGGGCACATCTATTCAGCATACATTGCCTGATGCAATAGCCGTCACTGGCTACAAACCGTTTTCAACGGGTATCGATCAAGGTCAGTTTCGTGGTCAGTTTCCTTGCATTTATCATATATTATTTTCTAGCATCTCCCACTTATCTCAGCTGATACCACAAAACCGTGTTATGGATTTATATGGCTTAAAACTCACGGCACTCATTCATGTGGCCCTACGGCAACATATCACCTTTCGCGCCACGGCACCTTGACAACCACGGTTTCCCGAAGTCGGAATGGGCTACTCGTCTAAGGGACTTACTTAGGGTTGGTTAGCTCTCACTTTTTCACATTAAGCACACGGTGCTAACGTGTGCGCCAACGGATTAGCATACAAGTTCCTACTACGGATCGGAGGTTGCATGGCACACCGCCTCACTTTATGATTGTCCATGGGGTTCCGCGACAGTCTCCTCTCCAGTGGGGGCTAGCGAAATTGGTTAGCGGAATCATATCTGAAGTAGTACCATCACTCGGTAAGCCTTGGAAAATCCCAAACTCGAAACGTTCAGGAGAATAGGGAGCTTAATGGTACAAACGTATGGCCTCCGTTTGAAAGTCGGCAAACGAATGGATATTTGTAAAAGCCGTCCCCTTAAGGCATGATTTCCGTCGGAAAGATATTGTGACTCAGCTAGTTCATTGTTTCATGTAACTTGTGAACAACTAAAATTTACTCTGAAAATCTGTTCTTTCAATTTTGGCTACTCCATCACCTTTCGATTGCTACTCTCGTTGACTGAAGTACGTGGCTCCAAGGACTCCACCACATCAAACGTTGTTCTTGCGTTGGTTTTCCCTCAGTTTAACGGATGTTGTTGGCGGCTTTCTACCTGGTATTACTGAGTTGCCGCATGAAGGTGACTTGGAATCTAATTTCTATAGACAGCATCATCCACATTTCTACTCGGTGAGGGCACCACCTGACTACCGTTATCGCCGTGGGAAGCGAGGCGATCGAGCATTCATCCGAGGTTTTACCATTTTTACTCCACTATGGATATGTCAACGTTAATTTGTGTATTATATTTGTCGTTATTTTTGCCATTGTCTTGTACAGGTATTAGTAAATGTACCTCCACTATACTTGCGCACCTATACACCTAATCCCACCTTACATTCACCGGCTTTAACTGGGTCATCTTTCGACCAGTCAGTTCCCTGGGGCCATGGAGTTCCCGATCAGCCTAGCAACATCTGCCAACGATGTTCTTTTGTTAACCTTTCGTAGTAGTGTGTGAGGTACACAAAATGCCATCCTTTCCAAGCGGCTGATGATGGACCCGGTGCAACCACCGCGGTACTGTTTAATTAGATGAAGTTCGAGGTTTTTGACCAATCGGATTCTCCTTATGTATCGACACATGGCGGCTGACTGTAACGATGAATTGGCGTTTGAGGTCCTCTGAAGCTCGTTGTTCCGTGTTTTGGCTTGCTCTTCCCCTAGTGGAAACGAAGCATTCGTCGAGCAGAGTATGAGCTCAAATTTGTTTTCTTTGGTGGGAGGGACATCAGTTTTACGAATATGTGAGCCAGCCATTGTTCATTAGTACAAACTTCCACGGCGAATCCGTTCAGAAGCATAGTTTATTGGGCCTTCGTATGCATTATGCATATGCTGACTAATTGTAGGATTGGTCCATGCTCAACTGGAGACCAGTTGGACCATCAGGGTGCATGTTCACCCAACTTTCAAGTTATGCACATGTTCAAGATGATTGCCTTTTACAAGCGTTGCTGCTTTTCGTTTACTAGACTAAACGCTTGTAAAAATGCGCTTGCTAGTAAAGGCAGAGTGCTTCAATTTGAATAGAAGGGATACGATCTTTATCGCAATTTTAATGCTTATGCGGTTTGCAGCCTGTTCATTTTGGCAATTTTACCCTGTCCTCTAGTTATGACTTTAGTGTAATAAGTCAAAGTGCACAGCGGTCATCACTTTTCCGCCTGTGGCCGATTTCTTCACTTCCCCAGATAACTCCCCACTTTTCTCCTCAGGTGCACCAACCGCCATATCAAAAAGTCTTGGCGGGGCCTTAACATTTTGCTGTGCTGCACATTTTCTTTTTTCAAGGAATTACTGGCACACAGATTTTCGACCACACTTCTTTAGAACCTACAGTTTTTACAATCAGGAACATGCTAACCGGCACCTGCGATGTTCTGAAATCCTTATGTGTTTCCGCGCAAGATAACAACGACCTATCGGGAATAAAGTGAGAAATCTATAAAAACAGAATAAAGCTGTAAGAAAGCATCGTGCATCGTAGAAAGGTGCTATAAAGAAGGAAAACGACAAGTATCAGCACACCCTCTTTTCTAATCTCCAATATCCTTTTCACTCCCGGGGAAAATGGGGGACATTAAAAGCATTAACAATTGTCATGATCACGCATAACTGGGAATTATTATGCCGCGAGAGACGACTCCATAAAGATGTCTGAGACGCTGTTTTTTCAATTGTCTGTTTTAAATGTTTTCCTGCTGTTCGCTCATGTACCTACCGGAATCATGGCGGCAGTGTCATAACCTTTATTAATGATTCTTGATGCCTATCAGTGAAAGTTTGCTTCGATTGCTTGGTTCTAAATTGTGAGGCACAATAGCTGAGCAGTTACTGCTCAGTTTTATTGGCCAATATTATATCCCCCAGATGTCCCGTCTCAGCAGCAGACAAATTTTACGATGATTTTACGGATGCTGTTTTGGGAAAATCGACCAGTCCGTGTGTATATCTGCTGGTGACTTCAATAGATTCGACACCACATTCCTTACAACTCTCGAGCTACAGAATATTGTAAAATGTCCCACCATGTTAAATGCAACCCTGAATTTAGTATTTGTTATTAGTTTGAAGATATTTTCGATCTACAGTCGAGCACAACTTAGCAGCTTAGATCATTCTATTGTCAAGCTATCCCCTATTGTCTACAGTAAGACGAATCACAATGATGCTACTCGCTGCAATGATCGTAGATGGAATTGGAGACAAGCTCTTCATTTAAATATTGTGTGACTAAGAGAAATAGTTGCGTTCACAGGCTTCAGTTTTTTTGACACAAATGCATCAACACACCGCGATCAATTAATAAGTTATCTTGACTTATGATCCCTGCTACCCGATAGAAACCATCTTCATCCGTACTGATCACTTTTCGTCACTCCAACTCAAATAGCTTCGTAGGCTCAAAGAAAGTGCTTTCAAAAGCAAAGCCCTTGGTTTAGTGAAGTCCTATTGTTCGTGTCAAGGAAGAAATGCACAACCTCAGTCACATCTATGTCCAGACAATTCTGGGAAACAACAGTTGGCGAATGATAACACAACCCAGCAGAGTCACCCGTAGAAGCACGAATTCTGATGTGGACCTAGAAGAATTAAATCGCAACTTCTGCTGCACCAGCAGCGATTGATTCCATTAGTCAATATCTGCAACGTTTTAGTGGTCTACGAACCCACTGCCTCCTGTCGACGTTGCATAACTACACAAGATGCTGACCCAACTGTCCTCAAGCAACGCATGCAGACCTGACAGTTTGTGCCCTGTCTTCCTTAAGCAGTGCGTCGATTCCTTAGCTCAACCACTGGCTGAGTTATACACAATGCACCTAACGCAAGTGAAAATTTCGGACGGTTGGAGGATTACTAACATAACGCCAGTACCCCAAGAAAGGACAGAAAATTATCAGCCTGTTGCATCCACCTCGGTAGCTTTGAAGGTTTTTGAGAAAATCTTTCTTGAAAATATGCTGGACAGGTCCGGTCTGGATTACCCATATTTGCGTATAGGAGTGTAAGATCCAAACAAGATGTAACGACTTGTCTAACGCATTCAGTGTTGCGGTCTCTAGACAGTATGAGCAAAGCCACACGTGTCTGCTTCCTCGACCACAGCAACGCTTTCAGCTGTGTTAACCGTAAATTGCTGTTGTAAGATCTACAGAATTCTGGTGTTCAACCTTCCCTAGTCTTCTTGATAAGTGCTTATTTTGCCAAGCGTACTCAAGTCACTACTTCTGGCTGCAAAAGCACCTATCCACTTAACACACCTTCCGTTGTCCCTTAAGTAACTGTTTCGTTACGATTTTTGTTCTGTAATGGCGTTAGCCATATGCCCATCCCAGAAGCAAACCTTCTGCTAAAATGTGCTGAAGACGTTCTCATCGGCGTGAAACGTCAAACCGCGGCCTCCTCAGCCAGGCTGCAAAGCTGTTAAGACGAACTTGGGCAATTGTCAAACTCTCGTTTCGTGACGCTAAACACGACTTCATAAAGATGGTGGTTACCAGGATCTTGTCACGCAATGTCCCACACTTCAGATTGATGGTGATGGTTTGAGCTTTTGTACTTCATTGAAGTATCTTGGAGTTCCACTGAGCCACGATTTGTCATGCTCATTCCACGTGAATCAGATATTCACCAAATTCGGGTGACTTTGATTTGACGTTGCTCGATTGCGATCATCCTGCCTACCATACGGTTCGATTCTGCAGTTCATCAATGCGTGCAATCTACCACACTGGACTTTCCTTTGCTTTCCTTTGCTTTTTCCAGACTTCCTGCGCAAATTTTTCAAAATGCTTGACAGGTCAATGAAGCATTTGTCACGCTGCAGTGGCATTTCAGAGCCAACTTTGGTTCAGTTGTATCGACACACATAAATTAATGCACTAGACTTCTTCTGAAATAATCACCAACATTACTCATCATTTTCACAATGCACTCACTAAATTTATATTTAACTCGTTGCCCAGACGAAGTACGGAGCAACATATCCTAGCTTGAGGACGGATGGTTCCTCGGTCATTTCCTAGTTAGCCAGATTCCTATATGACTAAAACGCTATTATTCAAGAACTGGCCGGTAAATTCTGCTAGTGTGGTTATTTTTTAATGAGCTTTTGCTGCTGTTCTATCTCTCTTGAATTGACTTTTCATCAGGTCGTTAGCACGTGCATCAGGACTGAAAATTAACTCATCACGGGTGCATTCTGGACTTGGCTTATTTTTGAAAGTGTGAATTTGATTTGTTCCCGCTGGAC